TATATATATATATATATATATATATATATATATATATATATATATATATATATATATATAGTGTATGTATATATATACATACATACACATATATTGGCAGTATGTGTGTGTGTATGTGCGCGTGTGTATGTATATAAACACACACATGTGTGTGTGTGTGAAAGAGTAAAATAAACTACATAAAATCCACTTGTTAGAGAACTCGAAGAAATTGTTTTGTGTTATGATTACAAGGAATATAGAAATATATCTGAAACATAGAACTAAAATCAAAATTAAAACTGAAGCCTAAATATTGATTATATTAAATCTGGAAAACCACTATATATTTAAATAGTAAAAAGTGAACACGCTTTTCATTTTTCTCTATAACTAATAATTATTTCATAGATTACAAGCTTAGATAAAATGTTGAAATAACTAGAGATGCAACTTTGCTCAAAAACAAAAATAGAATTCTTCAATGGATTACTGTAATGATACAAAAATATCATTTTTGGGGAACTATATAATCCAGTTTTAACTTATCTCTTTCCTTATGTAAATCAGGTTTGTAAATAGGTTGAAAACAGAAACAGAAGAAAACTAGGAAATGTTATTAGCAGGAATGAAGACAATTACTATTGTAAATGAGATCTATTTTTACTGTTACGCAAGATAATTAAAAATGTTAATAATAGCCAATTATACAACTATTACAAACATTAAGTTCTTGATTGCCGAGTTTATTTGTGTTTCATACAGTTTACTAAGGAAAACACTATTTTTAAAATGTGACAAAGCTCCAGTCTATTTTCAAAACAGTTTAAGTTTTCATTTTGACCTCAGAATAAACAAACAAATATAAAAATTGATTAAGGCATGTTTTCACCACTACTAATATAGGAACAGAAATCAAGCAAGGAACTAATTTCCACTTCCAAGGATAAATTTGGGCAGTGTTGATCATCTTACAAACAACTAACTATAAAATCTAGAATAAACACTGGAGTAGCTAAATTAATATTTCCTCCCCAACATATCACGTAGTAGCTGTTATCTTCACTTGTATAAAATGAAAAATCTTGTTTTGCTTACAATAGTTTACACTATATCATCTCTATCCTCACTAAAATCCCAAAACAATAATCTAGGCTACTTTTTAAACTGAGATTAAGTCACACTTTCCCAATTATAAGGCTAAAACAATTCTGACTTTATACAAGTCATGAATAAAGTCTGAAGAGAGAGGACCGTAAGAAGGTAGAATAAGTATAAATTTCACACATTTAAAATAATTCATTCACATTTTTTAATTCAAACTTGAGACTTGGCACAAAGAGCCTAAAAAAATAAAATATGAAAAAACTCCCAGCAGCAGGAGATGTTTTTTTACTGTAAAGATTTTTTCCCCAAATACTCAATTTTTAAAACAAATAGTTACTTCCTACACATAAAAATCAGTACCAACCAGAAAGGTTTGTCAGACCAACATAGTCAATAAAATTCATATTAATGTTTTTTTTTTCAAGCAATACCTTGCTCGTGTTAATGCAACCTTCTAATTTAAAATCATTTGAAGGACCAATAATGGCAACAGTATAGTAGAAAGCCCTGTGTGCTATTGAGGAAGATTTCTATATTTAAAGCAAATATTTTTTTTAAAAAAAACATGGTGCCTGGGGGGAAAATAAATCTATAGATATATACTAAAAAAAATAGGAAGAAAAAAAAGATACTGCAATCATACATCAGGGGCACTTTACTGGAAAACAATGTGTTCCATATAAACTGTGTTTTTCTTTCCCAAATGACACAGAAGGTAATGTGCTGATAGGTGATAGAAATAATCCAAATATTGGCCTATGAAAAATACTAGCAAGTTCTTATGATACTATGTGTAATTATTGATAGTTATTTGCTATATTTTCTTCTCTAACACACAACACAACTAGTTTGGTATATTGCCTAAAGGCCAAAAATTGAAAGAACAGAGTTTTAGTTTTGTTTTACAAATAAGCAAATTGGATGACTTTATCCCAATCTTTCTTTCAGCCCTAGGAAGAAGGCAATGATAAATTACTTGTCAAAAAGTTGTCAAGTCACCAATGCAAACCCACCCACCCACCCCCCAAAATCCCCCACCAAGATGAAGAAATAAATGCAACAATGAACAATGTAAAGTTGTATATAATGATCATGGTCAAAAGCACAAGAAGCCATTTTTAACCAACTGTAAAAGAAATAAAGCTGTGCTCTTTCTATGGCTTGCAGCATAAATAAATGCTGAGTGGACATACTTTAAAGGGAGCAGCATAAGAAAATCCAGTTAAGCAAGGTTCAGCATTCATGACAGAATGCTAGATAGAGAGGAAAAAAAAGATAAGGAGCTGCTCAGAAAATAACATAATGCTAGGCTAGGAAAGAGAGGTATATCTTTTCTGTCATGGCTCTGCTTCATTCCACCTGTTACATTTCACTGTTTTCTTTCAAGCAGACAATATTGCTACTACAACATGTCTTATTTGTAAACATAGCAATACCTGCTGTTCTCCTAGTACAGTGTAAAAAGTTGTTAACCTTTGTATTATGCAAAAATGAGTTGTTTTAACACAATAGAAAAATTAAGCATCAGTAAGTCTATCATACTTTTTTCCTTTTAGCAATTGTTTGTGAAGCATGTCACAAAAACTGGATTGACACTTAACACGAAACTATAATAATTCTCGGATTATGATGGTAATCGGAACTGGGATTTCCATTGCTAATAATGCAATTGTAAAGACAATGCCGTATGGCTGCACTGTTTAGCACCTGCAATCCTGGCTATTGTCAGAATCCCAGGACCATGTGGGTCATGAAATGGAAACAGGTGGAGTCCCCAGCAAGAAGCATGGGGAAGAGGATGCAAAATGGAGCTATTGGGTGTGTAGATGTTGTGGACCGCATTACAGACTGTGGGTGGGCTCATAAATGTGAGATTATGAACAGTTAACTAACCATAATTTCCTGGGAATAAATACCGGTAAAGGATTATAATTTTAAATTAATAAAATAACCCACCCCCACTCCTAGCTCTATGTCTAGAATCTGTATTTATATATAAGTCACAATTTATATACAAGTCACAATTTGTGACTAATCATTGTTCTAAAACGAGTCTTTCATGCTATCTAAAATGATAGCATTTCTTCTTTTTCTATAGTCTGCCTTTTTAAATCTCAGCTTCCTCCACTAATTTAAATCTCAGCTTCCTCCACTAATATATAATATAAAAAGCCCTAAAGTCATTTCAATATTGATCTGGCATGAATTCTTATCAGGGTTCAATAATGCTTAAAGAGATAGCAACAAAAGTGGGAAATCAGTCATGTTTACTTATTATCAAATCTCAATGAGCAGCTAATGCATGTTGAACATTCTATAATGGGCTTGGCCCAAAAGGACTTTCCCATTCCCGAAAAAAAGTCTCTACCCCAAGTATATGGCTAAAGTATACTTTAGCTTAGGAATTGGTCCACTAACAAATTACTGTTAAGTTTAGTTTGCTTTAGTTTAAAAAGACAAGATACCGTTGATGAATATCTACTGCTTTTAGCATTCTGGAATTACTGAGGTAGTAAACAAAAATCCAAAATGGTATAAGGAAAATGCAGTTAACGTATTATGAGTGAGGATTTGAAATTCTCCTTCATATTACTGAATTTTCAGCAATGTAGCTAGCATGACTGCTTTCTTAAACAATTAGAGTCAACATAAATCATTTTCACAGCAAGTCATTCAAATTATTCATCAATTCTGCTTCATTATTTAAAACCACAAATAACCATATATTTAAATATTTTCAAACTAAAAATGTTTCTCAGAATTAGATTCAAACACATACACAGATTATTAACAATGAGAATGTCAGTGCCAAGAATGCCAACCAAAACACTTCAAATAGGAAGAACCTATTTGTAGATGTAAAAGACTAGGTTTATTTTTATGGATACAATGGGTACAAATTTTCTATTGTAAATAATGAGAGTTCTTCTGGGATACAAATATTCTCTGGGGTAATTGAGTATTTGTAAATAAATTCTTCAGCAACATCAACTAAAGAGCCTGTATCTCAATGTTATTTATAACCTGAATTACACCCTAGAATGAAAGATGAAAAAAATGGAATCTGAAAACCTATAGCAAAATACAGAAGATACCGTTTTTAAAATGTCATTTTTTTCATAAATGCATTAAAGAAAAGTTCAAAATATTGCAATCTTATAAGGGCTTTTCTACTAAGAACATTTGTGAGAGAATGTTATGCATCACAGTATTTGAAAATTCTATCCGATGAGAACTATCTTAACATTTGGCTACTTTTTTTAGTTTGTTTGATAATGTCCGTTCTCAGAAGTTAACAATATTTAAAATGCATCAATTGCACCCTCTTGTGTTGGGCATGCATATTTCTTTAATGGCATTTTTAATAAACCATTTATATTTTAATACTGTATCAGTCATCAATAATCAAAAATCAAATAGTTATAATGACCATAATAGTCAAATATTTACTAAAATAAAAAAGACTAGCATATAAAAGAGTATATAGAATCATGGGCTTTATTTATGTAACACAATTTCTCCATTATTTCTAATAATTTAACAGCAGCACACTCATTTTTAATAAGTAATATTTAAATATTCTTAAATTTATTTTACTTACACTAATACAGGTTTCCCTGATATCTTAGGATGTCTTAGAACTTCTGAAATTGTATCTTTTGTCTCTTCCATTCTTTCCACATCACTTGAATCCACAACAAATATTACTCCATAGGATTCAGCATAGTAATTTTTCCAAATGCCCCGAATACGTTTTCCACCTCCTAAGTCAAAAATTGTGACTTCAAACCATTGTTGTTTAAGATCGATTTTAGAAAATCCAACTGTTGGAGCCACATCTTCAGGGGATTCTGACAAAATTAAAATATATTATAAGAGACAGTTCGATGAAACTTGAATAAGAATTTTGATATGACCAATTAATTAATTCCAAGCTATAATAGAGGCCTATACTAATGCTAAATATTTTATTTTACTGTACAAGTAAAAAATAATAGCATTACTAATTAGCTTATGAGCATATCAAAGTTAATACTTATTTCAGAACAACAGTAATATTACAATAAAGCATGCTTTTACTGAAAATGTATTTCAGATCTGTACAAAAAGAGTTTGAATGAAACTTATTAGCCAGGTTCTAGAGAATTCCATATGCAGTGTTGATATACTGGGGGAACTGAGTTTGCATGAAGTGGAATTCCCTAACATACAGAGATAGACTTTCCTGACTTTAGAGAACAGCCACTTAAATAAATAGGGCAGATAAGCCTTTAGGTGTATCTGAGCTCTTTTTATTCAGAGGATATATTGAGTTGATTTAGGGTATTCTAAGGTATCTAAGTGGGATGCGGTGGCCCAGTGGCTAAGATGCTGAACTTGTCGATGGGAAAGTCGACAGTTCAACAGTTTGAATCCCTAGTGCCGCATAACAGAGGGAGCTCCTGTTACTTGTCCCAGCTTCTGCCAATCTAGCAGTTTGAAAGCATGTAAAAATGCAAGTAGAAAAATAGGAACCAGCTTTGGTGGGAAGGTAACAGCATTCCGTGCACCTTCAGCCTTTAGTCATGCCGGTCACATGACAATGGACACGTCTTCGAACAGTGCTGGCTCCTCGGCTTTGAAACGGAGATGAGTACCGTCCCCTAGAGTTGGGAATGACTAACATACCGTATTTTCACGACCATAAGCCGCACTAAAAATCC